AATGTGAATATAATGAGACCATTTTTTTTCCCCTTTCTGGTAGTAGGGGGTGGCCAGGGGACACCTGAGTCGCACGCGATGCCGACATGCCGACGCAGGTCGTCGCCATTAACAAGGCAGAGGACGGCGACGAGGCGGCCCGGAGAGTCGAGCTGCGCCGGGCTCCGGGGAGCCTGTCCGACTGAGGCGTACAGCTCTGGTTCGACGAGTACCACTCAGGTTTAGAACATTTTCAAGTCGGAGATGATTGAAAAAGGGCCACCCCGTCGGAATGTTCGGATGCTGCTTTGGTCCAGTGGCACTGCTGCTACTCCAATAGGGTACCCGACCAGTCGGGCCCGGCGTATTGTATGGTACCCGGGCCGCGGCGGGGTACCAGGGTACCGCAGGGTACCCCCGGGGAAGCACGGGGGCTTTACGAGTACTAATAACAGATCCAGGGGAAGGCGCGCTGCCCGCCTCGCCCCTCCCGGCCCCACCCCGCCCCGCCGGAGTCTTTGAATGTAAGGGAGCACCATCATCTTCTTCCCTCTCCGCGTGGCCGGCGCGTCTCCCCGCGCCCCGCCTCACCCCGCCCCAGGGCCGACAGTTAAAGGTGTAGCAGACCCTAACCTGGGTGAATGGGTGGGAGTGACGGTGCAACTGTGCATGCCACGCCAGCAGGGCAGACCAGACTACACTCTTGAAATATACGTAAAAATAATCGCAAAGTGCGGCGGGAAATATCAAACCGAATGACCGTCGTTGACGCTGATCAACGAGCCCGAACCACCACGAGTCCAAACGAAACCCGGACGGAACCCGTGCGACGACGTCCCTCATAGCAAAACCCAACCACTCCGGAGTTCGAGGAAAGTTACCGTCGTGCGGCGTGCGCAAACTTAAAACACTTGCATATTGTTTCTCCATTTTTCAACGACGAAAGCAATGGAGGAAGCTGATCAATTCCAGTGTAGTGTACAATAGACTCGACAATTGATCCCCCTAAAAAAAACTGGGCTGCATCTCACCAAGACCTATTGACTCATGAGGAGATGATGGACTCCGAGCCCGAGGCTCCCCCGCCCCCGCCCTTCCCAGCTTCATGGACCAGTACCAATTTTTATTAAGTTTTACGCGTGATCAATATAACAATAATCGGAGGTGGGCTGCCGAGTCATCGAACCACCAAAGGAACGTAGAAAATGAAGTGGAGGATGGAAAAAAAAGAAAGTGGGAGAAAAAGGGGGGGGGGGCAGAGGCGTGCAGGTAAAGGTAGGTAGGTCTTACCGCAGTGGGTGGGTATGGCAGTTGTACTCTCACACCTGTGAGTAGTAACAACTCCGGTGCGGGCGTGGAGCCCGCAGAGGGCGAGAATAAGAGAAAGGGGAAGGGGGGAGACCGGAACACTCACTTATCGGCTTCCGCTCACACTTCCACGAAGGACAGTAAAGGGCCGAGAGGTATAGGGGTGCGTGTGTGCGTGTGTGACAAAGACACACATAGTTCAGGAGCCCTAGGTTTTGACCGGGACAAAAAATGCACAAAAGGTCTGAAAACTGTTTCCGGTGCAGTTTGATGTGCTGATCACGCTCCCACAAAGTTCCCTAAAATCGGACCTGGGAATCTCGAGTTATTGAACAAAAAGGGCCTAAATGCAGGGTTTCGCTGTTACGCCCATAGCTCCGAAACTATTCGTCCGAGAAAGGTGAGATAGGTGTCAAAATGTGCGGAAAGAACTAGGGAACATGCTCCATCCATCATAATGCAAGCGAAAACTACTCTTCTAGCCAAAAACTCGAGTTGAACGGAAAATTTTGATTTCGACTTGTTCAATTTTAAATATCTCACGTCATATTTCTTAAACGAGCGGGAAAATGAGGGAAACGCCCCGAGGTAACGCTATGCGCCTAACCTTAAGCTCGATGACGCTGTGCTTACTTTGACTACATCTGTAACCGTTCAGGTTCAAATCGCCTTGAACCGAAGTCGTGCAGAGCCGCCGCGCGGCGCGCCGCCGCCCGCCCGCTGCTCTCCGCCAGCCGCCCGGCTGGGAGTGGAGGGGGAAGCGGGGCTCTCTCTCTCTCACACACGCGCTGCTCGCCGTGGGTGCGACAAGGACGGTGCAGCGAACATCCACACTAATAGCGCGCGGAGGTTTGAAGGGAGGAATTCTGCTATTAAAAACTACGACGGCGTAGTATGTTAGACAAAAACTATTTAATATTCACAAATTCACAACACGTCGTCAAATTTGACATCTTTAATTTACCAACGCATTATCACAGATTGAAACAAATATTAGAAATATGTACCAAAAAATGTACAAAAATACAATGTCAAAACACAATTCTAAGCCCCAACTAACTTAAAATAGGCTACAAGTTACAAACAGAAAATAAAACAATACAAATAGGAATATTACTATAATATTCAT